AAGTAATTAGTCTAGCGTTTTGTCGGGGGTAAAGAGGCAAGATCTCATTCAATGTTAGATGGAGATGGAAAGAGAAATTGAGAGTGACTGGACCTGACTTTCTTTTCCATCATCCTCATATGGCTTCTGCATTAAAGAAGCATAAATTTTAGTCCAATGTCTTGCCACTTACTTTCTATAATGGACATCCCTGTCAAAAAGGTAAGTGGAAACTGACGGGATGCTTGGGAGGAGGGACGCCCTGCTCAATAAATCATTACAAACACAGAAGAAGCTGAGAGGTGAGGAGAGGAGAGGAGGGGTTGATAGTGAATTAACAAGGAGATACGCGGGAGCCGCAGATCCTTCACGATGGGAAGTCATTAATATCAATCACTGTCTTTAAGATGATCGAATACGGATTATCGAATAGTTTTTACCAACAAATTTAGCCCTTGAAGGAAATTGGACGTGAATTTTGCAGAAAGTGGATGGAAAAAGAACTTCCATCATATCTCTCCTTCGATATGATGACCGAGAAAATTGCAATATGTTTTTTCAAATCTGCGTAAGGAAAAAGGTCTTTGCATTGACCTAGCTTCAGAGTATTGGCCAAGTTCTTGACCAAGAAAATAAGTAACGAGTCTAGCGTTTTGTCGGGGGTAAAGAGGCAAAATCTCATCCATGTTAGATGGAGATGGAAAGAGAAATTGAGTTACCCAACCGACTTTCTTTTCCATCATCCTCATGTTGCTTTTGCATTAAAGTGATTATGCTAACGAGTAATGGGTAAGTGGAAACTGACGGGGTGCTTGGAAGGAGAGACGCCGGAGTTGCAGATCCTTCACCACGGAAAGTCATTAACATCAACCACGTCTTTAAGATATTTACCAACACATTTAGCCCTGGAAGGAAATTAGACGTGAATTTGCAAAAAGTGGAAGGAAAAAGAACTTCCATTGTATCTCTCTTTCCATCAACTCAAATTAATGCTTAAAGGAAATTAGACGTGAATTTGCACAAAAAAAGAAAAAATGGAAGGAAAGAAACTTCCAATTCAACGACTATTGAATGAATAGAAACTTCTTTGTGTTTGGAATTTATGGCGATGAATGGAGTATAAACCAGCGATTCCGAAGACGGTGCCATAGGCTGAACAACAATGCATATGGGTGACAGATTCCGAGGGCCAGCCGAATGGTGTTTGAAACGGCCACTTCAATTTTGCCGCGGACTGTAGAGGTTACTGATTCTGCTAAGAAAGTGTTCGACGAATTGTCCGAAATAGGAGAAATGATAGTAACGGCGCTTCTAACTTCGATTACTTGTTATGTCAACAATAAGCAATACACTCTTCTCTGTTCTGACTATATTAAATAATCTGAGCAGAAGAGTCATTGTTACGGATAAGGTTCTTCTGCTAGAATATGCTTCGCTTAGTCTTCAAATTGCTGGAGACGTGCTCTTGCACCTACCGGAGGCGTTAAGGCATGTAAGGAATTTATATATCGAAACCAGCTGGTGACTCCATATTGGTTTGTTTCCCAGATATGAAGTCTCCTCCAGTGGTAGTGGAGGACCAAGTCCAGGAAGGTCATTGCGTGAACAGAAAGCTTTGTGCATAATGAGTCTACACATAATAAATCTCATATCTCTAGTCAGTTAAATACATAAAGTTCCCAATTCTATACCCTCAACACTCCTCAAAAGAAATTTAAGCAAAAAAAAAAGGATAAATAATTTATCTAACTGGACAAACAGTTGGTACCGTGAAATATGTCTATTAATCTTCAGAAAATGAGTTAACCTAATGATAATAACAAACATAAGATCTACGAAATTGAGAGATCATGGATATTGCTTGGACTTAGCCTTTAGTCAGTTGGACCACATATAAGGGGAAAGGTAATTTTGTGTGCCCCTCCCTTTTATTCTTGGCTGACTTCAACTACGGAAATCAAATTTCCGTATATTTGTTTTCGAACTTTCACATACCGAGTAATTCAATTCGGATCATTCATTTAACCGACTCAAACTTGAAACATATTTTGACAGGTACACCACAACTAGGCCCTAGTTTGATATATCTTACATTGATTAAGCAGTCGCGATTTGGAGCCTAGTGAGATATAAAGATGCTGTTCCGGAGACCGAATAAGTAATCTAAGAACCATAGCAAGTCAAAATTAATGGGGGCTTTAAGCCTTAACATAAAATTCATAATGACTAAATACACAGAAAATGATGTCAGTGCGTTCCTCAGTTTAAGAATGTCACAGGGCTCTCGCCTAGCTTTAGAGATTGTATTTATAGGATGAACTCCACTTTTAACCTATAGACATTTATTTTATTGTGCTGTCTCAAGAGATAAATGCTTCGTGGTAGTGGTACTGATAATGTCAAGAAAAAGTTATTATGGATGTATCATGTCCTTTCAATCCCCCATATGCCAAAACCACCTCATTTGGTAAAAAATGGCACAATTGCCCCTAATCATTAAAAGATAAAAATTAATTAAAGCACAACTTTGCATAAATAAATTAAAATGACGGTTATATTTAATTCGTTTTGAATTGTCAAAAAGAAGAACAACAACAAGAAGACTGCAGGAAGTAAATTCACAGCCTCTACCTATCTTTCAGCCAAATAAAATAGTCCCAACACCTAGCCCACCTTCTCGATTTTGATCATTCAAAAAATAAAAAAAAAATAGGTGAAGCAGACTGCAGTGAAAGCACTCAAAGGCAATAATATCATTTTTCTTTTTCTTTTTTCTGAAAATTGGAGGAAATACGAGGAATTACGTTTGTAGCCCGGAAAGAGCTTTATCGGTTCCTTCGTGCCTTACAAAAAAATTGAACCAACTTAGAATTAACACTAAGTCTTTTTTTTTTTTTTTGATGACCCAGAGAACCCCCGCACGGCCGACAGCCGGGAGGTAAACCCTGGGGGCGACACGTGCTAGCCACCACACACGTGCACCGGTTAAGTCACCCTGCGGCACCCGGGATTCGAACACTCAACCTTTTGCGAGAGGAAGAGTGCGCGCTCCAGCAGCGCCACCCAGGCGGGTTCAGCTTAGCTAAAAAATTTATCTCAACGGTCAAGCTCGACGAAGCTCTTCACGGCCATGGCTGAAAGCTTGATGAAGCTTTCACGGCCATGGTGAAGCTCGACGTAGCTCGATTGGCCATGACCACGAGCTTGAAAAACCTTGAAACCCGGAGTGCTTATGGTTGAGCTTGACAAAACTCAAGCAGCTATGGCCCATGGCTAGGAGCTCAAAGAAGCTCGAGTGGACATGGCTGAGGTTGACGAATCTCGTGCAGCCATGGCTGCGAGCTCAACGAAACTCCAATGGCCATGGCCGCCAACTTGAAGAAGCCTAGAAGCTGAAGCGGCAATGGTTGCAAGCTGGACGAAACTCAAGTAGCCATGGCCAAAAGCTTGAAGAAGCCCGAGAGTTGGCAGTTATGGCCGAGCTCCATGAAACTCGAGCGACAAGGTTTTGCCTTTTTACCCCCCTTAAATTCTTATCTTTTTATTTTTTCAATTCTTATCCTTTTTCCTTTTATCCTATTTTTATTTTTATTTTAAATCTTGTTATCCTTCTTTCTTTTAAATTTTCGAGTTTTTTTATGTAGCACTTGGTGGAAGCCATATCGATACCATTTGTCTTAAGAAAGTAATAGAACAAAGGTCATGTCGGCATTTTTCGTTAGTTAAATTGGATGGGTTTAATTGAAAGATTTGATTGCATCAATTTAACAAATTTTAAAATTTAATTGTATTTTTTGAAAGTTTAGGAACTCGATTACACTTTCTAGTGCACTTATTCCTATTTGTAGAATAGATATCCAAAACCTTTTGCACATGGACCGGGAAGATATAAAATCAATGCCTTCTGACTAATAAATCAAGTGATTCAATATAGGAAGCACACAATATAACTGATCACATCTATTGAGTGCATGTCCACACAATAAACTAAATAAATTTCCGCATACACTCCTACAGTCCATCATTATCATTGAACATTCAATTTTCATGAAAAACTTGATTGGTTTTATGTCGCGATGATTGAATCAGCTATGGTGCCTGCCTTCTTCTCTATCATTTTCATGTCCTCAATTGTCAACTAACTTAAAGAATGGTTTGCATACTTTTCCTTGGAAAATTTCTGGGTCATGACAAGCTTTAATGACCGCGTGGGAGGATAAGATGTGTCGCATCTTTGACTTGAAGATGTCCCCGGCAGAAAATTAAGCGTCCTCCATCTGCACTGAACATGTGCGTGGGGACTTGGAACGTGTCGATGTTGGAGGGAAGTGAAAGCTCAAGTGGAAGTTGTTTAAATCTGCCTTAAACAACCCGAATCGGTCTGCTTCTGTTGTGGATTCTTATAACACTAACAAGATATCCGTGCATCATAAGAGCTTAAGACTATGCTTTCTATATTATTCTAAATTATTGACAGTTAATCAATTTTACATTCATTGATACTTCAAGTTAAATATAAGATATATTGAACGTTGATCATTATTGTTTTGATCATGTTATCAAATTAAACGAAGTTGTCTTGTTTTTTCTTCAATGAGTCCAAAAAAATACCAGTTTATGTGATATCTCTTGGCAAAACAACACTTATACTAAAAATTAATAACATAGATTTTTTGTTATTTATCTCTCGTTTTTTAGAAATGATACTTGGGGAACGCATATTTCCTTCATAACTTTGGTGAAATCACTAGTGGCTTATTTTTTGTCGATCTGCTTATAATCATTTTTTTAATCAATTTATAACATTCATCTTATAATTTTCATCTCTCTTTTGGAGAAGTTCTGGGTCAAGTCAACGGCGATAATTACGTGTTCCGTGGAATTGGCCGCAGTAGACTTTGAGTTTGCCGATGGTTTTTTTGGTGCAATTGGCCCAACCGTAATAATCACTCAAAATGGAAAGACTCCGCATGTATAAATGAAGCAGATGACCCTCGCAAGTTTGCACATGGTGAAGCAGAAGAAACAGATAAACGCACAAAACACCATTATAAACATGGAGTGTCTGTTATTGTGTATGTGGACTTGGGTGCTGTTGGTATTGATGGGAAGTGGAAGAAGCAAGGGGTGCTTGGAAGAAGAGAGGAATGCACTGCTCATGATTAAGGCCGCCTTCACCCACCCAAATGGGTCTTCTCTTCCGTCGTGGCGCGATGGCAATGGTGACTGTTGCGGCTGGGAACGCGTGGAGTGCAATAACACCGTTTCGCGAGTGACTGGATTGTATCTGAACCGGACACGCCCGGACGCATTGGGAAAGCGCTATTGGGAATTGCCTAGGCTGGTTATTGACGCGTCTTTATTCCTTCCCCTGGAGGAACTTCAAGTGTTGAATTTACGTTGGAATTCTCTCTCAGGTGAATATCTCTCTCTCAGCTATTTGTTCCTTTTGTCTTTTTTCAATTATGTCTCTATGTAATCGTTTACTTACCGTTTCTGAATAATGTAAAAATGTCATACGTGGGTGCTCCAAACAACAAAGTGGATTAAGTGAATTAATGACAAACACATGATTGCACAAATGATGCAATTCTTAAAGTAGTAGATTGCACATGTCATAAAATAATTAGGAGACTCATCTCCACAATCAGGATAGGTACGAAGAGCGAAAATAGAATCAGCTCAGTAGGCAATGATTTACCAAATGCCGACTTTTCTGCCATCATAAAGGGTCTGACTTGTTTGCATTTTGCACCCCAAAAAGTTGACTTGAAGGGCACTTGTTTGGAACTGGACTAAAATCTACTTAATACTTTTATTTGTGACTTTCTCTCAAGATTCAATATAAGAAAAAAGAAAATCAACGTCCATCAGATTATGAAAGAACTATATATTATTCTACGTATTAATATTTACATGTTTGAAAATGTTTTGAGCATTTCATGATAATTAAAAGTCAAATTGCGAGAGTGATAAGGTTTGCAAAAAATAAAAAATAAAACAATCAGGAAAAGTAGATTGATAGAGGGGATTAATTTAGAGCGAAGAGAAAGGATCTTAAAGGTAGTGTAGTGTTTGGATAGAGGGAAAGAAAGGGACAGGAAAAGAAAGAGTAGAAGCTATGAGGAGGAATTATGTATAGTCATGTGTCTTTTAAATCCCCCATATAAAGGGATTTGGAGGGACTAAGGGGGACCAATACTTTCATCAAACATCATTTTTCTTTCCCACATATACCTTTGATGCAATTCAAATTGTAAATACATAATTAATTATATATAAGTACAATAAAGTGATAATGCATCTTTATTTTTCTTTTCTCTCTAGATCATTCCTTTTTCTAGTATCCAAACAATAAAATAAGGGTACATTTTCTCAGGTCTACTAGTGTTAGTTAACTACATATGATCGACATTTAAGTTACTTGTTTATTCAATTAGTTTACAAATTCATGTGACATAAACCTTTTTTATGCTCGAATATGTCGAACCAACTGGTTTCTGCTTATAAACCAATTCTCCTCATCATGAGCATATAGTTATTATCGATAAATTTAAGGTAGTTAGACATATGATATCTATAGAGAATTAATTAACTATCGGATATGCATGAGTCGTTTCTTAACCAGATTTAAATGGAACGCTACACCTGAGGAAATTGAAGAGGCTAGATCTATCTGAAAATTATCTACAACGAGTCCCCTCGTTGTACAAGCAAACTTCAATGGAGGCCCAAAATTTGTCTTCCAACCAGCTTGAAGGTACATGTAAAATAGAAGATCATGCCTTGATATATAAAGTTCGATTTTGAGAACCTTTTGTCAATCACAGGTGTGAATCTGGAGACTCTGGATCTTTCTAGTAATGATTTGGTGAATGATGCCCCTGCGGACATTGCGAGGATAACATCTCTTAAGACCTTAGACATAAGTGATTGTGGACTGAATGCTTCAAAGTTATTGGAAGGTACTTCTCTGAAAATGCTTTCATTTATCACCTTCTTAGGAGAAAATAAGATAAGATTGTCTTGAACATAGAAGGCATGACTGCATTATATTCGACGTCCTTTGGATCATATTTTGGCCGCACATTTTCTTCAAATAACTTAGCGCCAACAACTTGCATCTAAGTAAATGATATCATATAGTTGTTTGTCTTATGCTTGAAGTGGGAAGGATTTAGTTAAATGTCTATGGAAGCCATAAATAAACCCATGTCATGCTCAATGTCTTTATTGTGGGATCATGATGTCGGTGATCCTAAGAATTTTGGTCATTTTCAATTTAATCCCTGATCTTTAAATATTGATGTTTAGGCTCCATGCTTTTACATTTGTGAATCTTTTTTACTAGCCAATCTGAAAAATAGTGTGATAACATAATAGATGTAAGGAGTTATTGCTTAGAAGATAAAAATAGTCAAAATAACAATATACTAGAGGGGTTCAAATATTGTGCTGGAATCATAATAAAATTAAATGCAAAAGTTAATCGGGAATCAAAATCCAAAAAATCCTTACAGTTTACATATTAAACCACAGTGATGGTCAAACTTCAGGGATTGCAAGTGTTAATAAATTCAACTAGGCCATGAAAATTATATAAGAAACTGAAAATTCGTATCAGTAAACTAAGATGCATAAAATCAATCAAAGAAAACATTTCTTATAATGGATAAATTAATTAATTTGAAAAATGTTTTTTCCATTAGGATAAACAATGTATAGAATAGAATAAATAATTACAATATTAAAAACTCATTCAGCCTTAAAAAACCTCGGCATCTTTTGCACCAATGTCTATTGCTGCCTCCGCCCACTACGGCACTCATGTCCATCATCACACCACGAAGCTCGGTCGCCATTACCACCGCCAGAAGACCCTGCACGACCTTTGGTGTGAACTACGACGACCTAAGATCTAAAGTGTGTCCTCAATTTTGAGGCCGTGATGCTCAAAACTGAGGTCACGTGTGTCACATCTATGGCCCGGAGGGTGGAATGGACAAGCAGCGAGGTGGCAATGATGGATAGCAAACTGGGACGACAATATGGATGGTGGTGGAGGGCGGCGAGTTGCGGTGGTGAGTTGTGAGTCCAAATGATGTTTGGGGGGCCTCCACTGTTGACTTGGCAGTTGGCAGGCATGTCCGCCAAAAGAACACAGTGATTTCGCGCTGCACTAAATGAAGGATCCCATTGCATTTTTTTGAAAAGTACATAATTAAACTAGTAAAAAAAAAATTCAGAAACTATAACGAAAATGGAGCCAAGATTTAGAGGTTGCCCATGCAATTAACCCATAAATTTTAGGAATAATATCAACTTTAGAGTTCATTTCCGATCCAATTCAAAATTTGTCAAACTCCAGAAGTAATTAATTTAATATGAAGAATAATGGAAATGAAGCATCGTGGTGATGCGACTCCACTCCAAAGCTCCGTCTTACCAATTTTTCTGTTTGTATTTTTGGGTATTAGATTGCATGCTCTTTCTATCCTCCATTCTAGGCACAAACCATGAACTTGAGTGTTTTAATCATACAAAGTACAATTTAGTGACGATACTCATAGTTGCAGTGTCCATTTCAACAGGCTTGTGCGGATTGAGGAACCTTGAAGAGTTGGATATCGGTGGTAATGGATTTTGGGGTCTCCCTTCATGCTTCAGCAATATGACCTCACTCCGCGCACTTCATGTTAGTGATAACAATTTGGTGAATGATGCCCTCGTGGACATTGCGAGGATAACATCTCTTAAGGCCTTAGACATAAGTTATTGTGGACTGAATGCTTCAAAGTTATTGGAAGGTACTTCTCTGAAAATGCTTTCATTTATCACCTTCTTAGGAGAAAATAAGATAAGATTGTCTTGAACATAGAAGGCATGACTGCATTATATTCAACGTCCTTTGGATCATATTTTGGCCACACATTTTCTTCAAATAACTTAGCGCCAACAACTTGCATCTAAGTAAATGATATCATATAGCTGTTTGTCTTATGCTCGAAGTGGGAAGGATTTAGTTAAATGTCTATGGAAGCCATAAATAAACCCATGTCATGCTCAATGTCTTTATTGTGGGATCATGATGTCGGTGATCCTAAGAATTTTGGTCATTTTCAATTTAATCCCTGATCTTTAAATATTGATGTTTAGGCTCCATGCTTTTACATTTGTGAATCTTTTTTACTAGCCAATCTGAAAAATAGTGTGATAACATAATAGATGTAAGGAGTTATTGCTTAGAAGATAAAATAGTCAAAATAACAATATACTAGAGGGGTTCAAATATTGTGCTGGAATCATAATAAAATTAAATGCAAAAGTTAATCGGGAATCAAAATCCAAAAAATCCTTACAGTTTATATATTAAACCACAGTGATGGTCAAACTTTAGGGATTGCAAGTGTTAATAAATTCAACTAGGCCATGAAAATTATTTAAGAAATTGAAAATTCGTATCAGTAAACTAAGATGCATAAAATCAATCAAAGAAAGCATTTCTTATAATGGATAAATTAATTAATTTGAAAAATGGTTTTTCCATTAAGATAAACAATGTATAGAATAGAATAAATAATTACAATATTAAAAAACTCATTCGGCCTTAAAAAACCTCGGCATCTTTTGCACCAATGTCTATTGCTGCCTCCACCCACCGCGGCGCTCATGCCCATCATCACACCACGAAGCTTCGTCGCCATTACCACTGCCAGAAGACCCTGCACGACCTTTGGTGTGGTGTGAATTACGACGACCTAAGATCTAAAGCGTGTCCTCAATTTTGAGGCCGTGATGCTCAAAACTGAGGTCACGCGTGTCACATCTATGGCCCGGAGGGTGGAATGGACAAGCAGTGAGGTGGCAGTGATGGACAGCAAACCGGGACGACAATGTGGATGGTGGTGGAGGGCGGCGAGTTGCGGTGGTGAGTTGTGAGTCCAAATGATGTTTGGGGGGCCTCCACTGCTGACTTGGCAGGCATGTCTGCCAAAAGAACACAGTGATCTCGCGCTGCACTAAATGGAGGATCCCATTGCATTGTTTTTGAAAAGTACATAATTAAACTAGTAAAAAAAAATTCAGAAACTATAACGAAATTGGAGCCAAGATTTAGAGGTTGCCCATGCAATTAACCCATAAATTTTAGGAATAATATCAACTTTAGAGTTCATTTCCGATCCAATTCAAAATTTGTCAAACTCCAGAAGTAATTAATTTAATGTGAAGAATAGTGGAATGAAACATCGTGGTGATGCGACTCCACTCCAAAGCTCCGTCTTACCAATTTTCTGTTTGTATTTTTGGATATTAGATTGCACGCTCTTTCTATCCTCCATTCTCGACACAAACCATGACCTTGAGTGTTTTAATCATACAAAGTACAATTTAGTGGCGATACTCATAGTTGCAGTGTCCATTTCAACAGGCTTGTGCAGATTGAGAAACCTTGAAGAGTTGGTTATTGGTGATAATGGATTTTGGGGTCCTCTTCCTTCGTGCATCAGCAATTTGACCTCACTCCGTGTGCTTGATGTTCAATATAACAATTTTAGCGGGGCCATTCCTTCGCCTCTCCTCTATAATCTCAAGTCACTTGAATATATTGCGTTATCTAAGAATGCATTTGAAGGCTCACTTTCACTTGCTTCCCTGGCTAATAATTACAACCTTGAGGAATTCCACCTCATGGACAACCATAATAGTTTGGTAGTAAATACAGAAGAGCCCACTTGGTTTCCTTCATTTCAACTGAAGGCGTTTAGTTTATCAAACTGTGTGCTCAACAAAGACGCAAGTGGCGTAATTCCCAGCTTTCTGAAAAAACAGTACAACTTGAGCAGTGTTCAACTCAGCCACAATGGAATGACAGGAAATTTCCCAAGTTGGCTATTGGACAACAATGTAAATCTAGAACAGTTGGTACTCAGAGGCAACAATTTGTCAGGTTCATTTTATCTGCCTTCCAATTTGAATCTTGTCAGCTTATTTATTTTCGATGTGTCTGCTAATTTTATTGAAGGAGAGCTTCCATCTCATATTGGTTCTATCCTCCCGATCACGGGCTATTTGAATCTGTCAAACAACAATTTGAAAGGTGGAATCCCTTCCTCAATGAGCAATATGCACCTGTTGTCCACATTGGACTTGTCGAATAATGGCTTCACGGGAGAAATACCAGAGACATTGGCTAAAAATTGTTCGCGACTTTTCTTATTGAACCTGTCAGGCAACAATTTGCAAGGCCAAATGCTACCGAGGTATTCTAACTTGACAAGCTTGGAATTTTTGTATTTGGACAACAATCGTTTTACAGGGGACATATCGCCGGGTATATTAAATATCTCCTCCTTGCAAGTTTTAGATGTAAGTAATAATTCCCTATCTGGAACACTTCCCAATTGGATTGGAGATATTCAATACTTGAGCACGCTTGTACTGTCAAGTAATTTATTGGGAGGTCCTTTACCGTTGAGCTTATGCAACTTACGGTATCTCAATCTTTTAGACCTTTCAAGTAACAACCTTGGGCCGAATATACCCCCTTGTGTCAATGTTGTAGTTATGAGGTTCTTGCATTTAGCAAATGACACGCTTGCTGGGCATTTTCCTAAGTTTCTTGTAGGAGCTTCATCGATTGTCACGTTGGATCTGAGAGATAATGTATTGTCAGGTGAGGTCCCTAGCTGGATCGGTTCACTTCGGAACTTGAAGTTTCTTCTACTACGAGGAAACAATTTTGAAGGTTCAATCCCTCTGGATCTATGTCTGTTGAAAAATATGAGCATAGTGGATCTTTCCAATAATAATCTTTCTGGAACAATTCCTTCTTGTTTGAAAGATTTGACATTTGGAAACGCTGGGGTATCTACGGAGGCATTTGCTACCTCGTTCCTTCCTATGTATTACGGGGGCATATATGCTTATACAGAGAGATTCGAAGAAGTACACTTCATGACAAAGAGTAGGTTGGAATCTTACAAGGGCAACATTCTAAAACTCATGTCGGGAATGGATCTCTCGCAGAATAATTTGACTGGCTTTATTCCTCCAAAGGTCGGCTACTTAAGTGAACTTCGAGCATTGAACTTGTCACACAATCATTTGAAGGGAACGGTCCCGGAAACATTTTTCAAGTTAACGAACATAGAGAGCTTGGACCTGTCCTTCAACAACTTAACCGGTCCCATCCCTCCACAACTAATAGAGCTTTACATGCTGTCAGATTTTAGTGTGGCTCACAACAACTTGTCAGGTAAGATACCAGATCGAAAAAATCAATTTGGAACTTTTGGTGAAGCAAGTTATGAAGGTAACCCTCTTCTTTGTGGAGCACCATTAACCAGCTGTGATGACTCCGATCAGGAACAGGGGACACAACCACCTTGTAATCATACCAGGGAGGATGACTCTTATAGAGAAGCCTTCTTGTGGAGTTTTGCAGGATCATATGTGGTGGCGTTCCTTGGGGTAGTTCTTTTTCTTTGCCTAAACTCGTACTATCAGTGCGTGCTGTTCGAGCTTGTTCGTAAGATTATCCCATCGTTTCCCCATTAGATATTGTTCTTCTAATTATTGTGATTGAAAAATATGATGAAACAGTGGAGAACCTTTATTTAATAGGATTGTAAGCATTTGAGTCTTTATTATGGATTGGGAACGCTTGGCTCCTAGGGTGTTCATATTGTATTCCTTGTCCTGCTAATTTGAATACTAGGAGAATTGATTTGGTTGTCAATTGAGAGAGGATAGTTCACTTCACAACCAAAATGAATCCAACATTAACAAATTCCTGTACACGTTACCCAAGATGTGAAATATCTGATGGTTGCAACCAGCAACATCGAACCAACTGGGTTTTAGCGTATCAAGACAAGATCCTACTAACATAAAGGATTGGGCGCGGGGAATTGCTCCTATTTGACGACAAAGGCATGCATTGTAGGACCACTGTTATGCAGCTCGGGCCCACCTTTATGGTCACTGCTTGATGAAGATTTATAGCAAGAGAACGAAGCTTATCCAATACTTAATGCAAAATTGCTTAGAGGATAAGTTCGACTCTACTGGCAGAAATTTAAGAGCGACTGTCTTCTACATATGTATCAGGATCAATGATTGTGCCAGCATTTCTTTTCCCATCACCTTGATGTCGTGTTCAAACTAAACCAACATAGAATATTAGTCAAGGGTCAACCTAGTCACACCTTTTATCCAAAAGAAATATGGGTCAAGCTCAATTAATAGCCATCTTAAAAAAAACAGAGAACATAATGCTGAGCTACAAATATAACGGATACTGAATCAGGCAATGACGCAATGCAACAGTTCAACAAAAAAACATGAGGTGCTCTTTGCTAGTGCTGTGCATGTGGAGTTCGGTGGTGTTGAGATTGGTTATTGCAAAATAAGGTGAATCTCGTCGAGTTAAAACTCACTGGAAACAACTTGCCGGGTGTTTTTCATTGGCCATCTTAGTCAAATCTTGTGAATATGTGTTGGTTTAATGCATTTGCCAATAGCATCGAAGGAGCGCTTCCATCTTAGATTGATTCCATCCTTTTGAATTTGCAGTACCTAAACCTGTCAAGGGACTCGATAGGAGTTAGAATCTATCCATCTGTAGGCGATATGAAATTGTTGTCGACATTAGATCTGTCAAATAACAGCTTCCCGAGGGAGATGCCAGAGCCACTGGCCATAGGTTGTGTCACACTATCTATACTAAAATGGTCAGGCGAGAAGTTGCGTGGCCGAATGCTACCAATAACTACTAACTTTATAAGGTTGAAATATTTGTATCTGGATGACAATCAATTCATTGGGATATATCACTTGGCATTTGGGATAGCTCAGACTCAAGGATTTTGGATTTAAGCGATAATTTCTTGTCCAGACCAATACCAAACTAGATTGGAGATATTCAACTTTTGGAATTTCTAACGTTGTCGGAAACTTATGGGTGGTCTTTTATTATTGAGCTTTTGCAAATTGAATCCTCTCGTTTTTTATACCTTTGGACTAACAAATTTCGGTCCAAATATACCCTACCGTGCCAATATTACATTTATGAGGTTCTTGCATCTACAAAGAGTTGAGCTCACTAGGCTTTTTCCTTAGTTTCTTCCTAGAGCTCCGTCCATCGTCTCTACGAAAAATGCATTGACAGGTGAGATGCTCAACTGGATCTGTTTCTTCTACTGAAAGGAAACCACTTTTAAGGTTCAATTCCTCTAGCTCTTTGTCAGTTGACCAAGATGAGCATATTGGATCTCTCTTATATAGGCCTTTCTAGAGAAGTTCCTTCTTGTTTTTAAGATTTTCAATTTGGAAATGGTGGGGTATCTAATAGCACATTCGATACTTTGAGTGAAACCGCTGAGTATGGCAGCGCTACTAGTACGAGGGAAAACTTGGCTTATAATTTTTTTATGATGGTAGCGGTACAGATGCTTTTTCGGATGAACTAGGAGAAAGCGACCTTCGTGTCAGAGAGTAGATTGAAATATTAAAAGTGCAACTTTCTAGAATATCTGCTTGGAATGGATCTCTTGCACAATAATTTGATGGGCTTTATTCCTCTAAAATCGATTATTTGAACGAAATATATGTCTTAAATCTGTCGCATAATCATTCGACGAGATCAATTCTAGAAAAATTCTCCAATTGAAGGAATATAGAGAGCTTGGACCTTTCTTTCAACAAGTTAACTGATCTGATTCCTCCGCAAGTGAGAGAGCTATGCGCACTTTCACTTTTTAGCTTTGCTCACAACAACTTGTTAGGCAAGACAACAGACAGAAAAAAATCAAATCAACTTTCGATCAAGCAATTTATGAAAGTAACCCTCTTCTCTGTGGACCACCGTTAATAAGTTATAAAAGCTCAAATGACAGTCCGTGGGTGGACTCTGTCAACTGTTGACATAGGCAAAGATGATGAGTCCTGAAAAGAAACCTTCTTATGGAGTTTCGCCGGATCATACGTGGTGGCATTTGGTGGGGTCGTTATTTTTCTCTACTTCAACTCCTATCTCAACGTGTTAAATTTTGTTTGTAAGGATATCCGATTGTTTCCTTAGCAGAGCTCGTGCTTGCAAGCATTTGAACATCTCGAGTCTCCACTATGCATGTTGAACCCTTGGATCTGTCATGTTGTCTGTCTTTTCTTTTAAATTTGGATGTGAAGTATCACCAGATTTTCTTTTGGTTGTGAACTGAAGGAAAGATCACTGTGGTCACAGATACAATAACCATGAAGAATAATAATTCATAGCTATGGCTGTGACTTGTCATCACAGATTGACGAGTGCTTTTCTGATTTTCCTTGAGAATCTCTAAGGTACGCTAGTATATCTAACCGCCTTCTTTTTCATGACTCTTAACACTACCATTGAAGTGGCTGATTTTTCCGAAGCCAGATCGGCCGTCAACTGACTTTGCCAATATTTATCTGATTCTTCTTCGAGAGTAAGCAGCATTACTGCCAGAATGAAGCTTCGCTGAAGGTGGATATTACATCGTCTGAGAGTCTTTTTTTCCTTCCTAACAACGCCTCCTTCTCGGACTTCCAAATTTTTCATATCTCGCGCTTCTTTCAACAAACTTTTTTAATGGCAGAACTTTGATGGATGCAGAGATTGCAAATGGGCTAAAGCAAGTTCCACGTCTGCAATTTCTATTTGCATACATCTGTTGCTTCTTCCCGAAACCTATTAGGTAGACTCTTAGCAGTTCTATATGCTGTATCGGGTCATAATTTATCTTCTTAAAATTCACCACACAAAGAATTCACCATCCTCCTGCGCTAGCTTTTTTCTGTCGTACAGAGGACGATATAGCGCTTAAAAAACTTTTCTCATGGTGGTGGTGGTAGCATTCTTTAGCCAAAAAAAAAAACGTAATAGTGGTCTAACCAAAATTATAGAGCAACTACTCACAAACAGCTCAGAATAAGATGAAAGCAAAAATGGTTATCACCCGAATATGATCACATTGTAAATCAAATCATCCATGGAAAATGAGAAAAATATAACAAATACAATGAGCATTCCACTTCTTTATAAATGGAGGCATCTCCTCTGTCATGGAACGCCATCTCTCCTTGAGGCTTTTTGATTTGGGGTGTACACACACTAACAACATAATAACATGAAACTCCATCAAATCGTTTGCACTCGGTTCAATCGAAATGAATCGAGTTTTGACTAATTTTTGTACTGTTACACAGTTCTGTAGCACCCAATTCTCTCACCACTGTAAGAGCAACAGAGTAGCGCCATAATGAGCCAAGGCACCCATGATCACAAAAACGTGAAATATCTTATGGCTGTGACCAGCAAGGTCGAACGAACCCGGTTTTAGTCTCTCAAGAATCCTGCTGACATAAAACAAAGTACCTGTAATGTAAGACAGTGCCATGGCCAACTCATAAGCAAGCGTGATCGGGCGTTGGAGATTGCTCCAATTCACAATACAGGCATGAATCGCAGGAACGATGCCCAAAAACCCCATGGAGAGCATCGCCCGAAATGCTTGGAATTTCCGAGAAGAAAGAGAAGGGGCAAGCAGTGTCATGACAGTGAACATCCCCATTGCTGTTATTCCGCTAAGGTAGATCAGTTGCCAATGGGCTCGCACTGGAAAATATAGTAGATTGGGGGGCAGAATGAGGTGATGATCATGACCGTGATGCCGACGTAGTCCATCCGCAGCAGCTGGTTGTTCAAGCAGTGTGAGTGGCATGAGAAAAGGTGGCAAATGCTGCTTGAGAGGAGGCAGAACATGGATCCGCCTAAGACGACAAAGAACGGCCACTGTGTTGCGGCTGGTTAGAGTGAAGCAATCTTCAAATCTTCTTCTGTTATCTGATTCAAGTTCACCAAAGAATTTGTACCCTGAAAACTATATTGTGTTAGATACATCTGTAGACTTCTAAAGAGATTATTCTTTTCGTAAGTCGAATGAAACATCGTTGGCGCGCCACTCACCTAAAGCAATTCCTTTGAGTAAGAGATATTATTTCCTGCACTAGTAGAGTTTGACCTGCACAAGTGGGTTTGCATATCAAGTCATTACATAATCTATGGTATACTAGTCGGAGTCCAATCTTTAGATCATAATATATAGAAAATGGTTCGATCCTGTCTGCCGAAGGGAGAGAATAGGCCAAAACGGTGAAAGTGAATGGGCAGAGCACTAACTGAATAACTATCAAGCCTGCTTAAGCTGATACTTTCAAATTCAATTTGACAACCAGTGTACTACTCTTCACTATAAAAGCTATTTACCATTACGATTTCGTTCAGAAAATCTTATCAGCAATCAACATTCAGAGCATTCTGCAATAGTTTATTGCAAGGTCCACCGTGTGTGAACTTTTTCTAGACACACACAGTGCTACTTGCGTGGAAAATGATTATCCATTGATGGTTTGACTGAATGCATGTTGTATTACCAAGAACAGAGAGAGATTTTCCGATGGGTTCGATCTTTTATTTCTTTCTGAAAAGAACAGAAATTTCTATTAATACTTTGATCCATCATGATAAGTAATCG